GGTCGGAATTCATTCATTCATTCATATCTTCAGCACCCCTTCAACACAATACGATGAAGCAACTTTATGAACTAGAAAATCTGTTTAGACCTTCTGTTATTAACTACAATATTAGGACTTGGCATCAGCACATCTACTCTCATATTTCTTAGTGAAGAGGGAAGATATTTTGCTGTATTAATATATTTTTCCACCCTTGAATGCAAACAGCAATGTGCAGACTCATCAGCATCAGAAAAAAAGTCACCACTCATCCAATCACTGACTGTTCACACCAATGCAGCCTGGGAGAAGTTACAGTAGTACCAAAACAAGGTCTTCAAGTCTGTTAACAGATTGATCAACCAAATTAAATTGGTATGAAAAGGCTCATTTTGTATTTTATTATCAATAAAGTGCAATAAATGTATTCAAAGTTTACCTAAAGTTAGATTATTTAGTTAATGGGTTTTACTTTTTGATATCTGCCTTTGTATTTTCTATAAATATTTACAATTAATAATAAAACATATTTAAGTACTGTAGAAAAAAGTTGGCATTTCATCTATACTTGACATATTGAATACTTGAATTGCACATTCAATTAAATTCAATTCAGTTTATTTATATAGCGCCAAGTCACAACAGAGGTCGTCTCAGGGCACTGACACACAGTGGCACATCACAGGATCAATGCAAAATCTTGTGCAGCTTTTAAATGAACACACTAACGCCACAATAAACATATCCAAATGGAAGTGCAGATATCCAAATGGAAGTGCAGAGCAGAGAAAGCAATATATACAGGAGAAAGAAAAGGCTTCAATGTTATGGCAGATTGCAGAAAATATTTTTCTTGTAACAATCACAGGAAAATGGTCAGAAATTAATGCAGTGTTGTGGGTTGGTCAATGAAAATCTTTGTCTTCCAGAGCAGAGGATGAAGCACGGTGTAGATAAATTACATTTCACAGCTTGGGTCAGATACAAGTTAAACATGGGTGGAACAATTGTTGGCCTTTGTCAGTTTGTATCCACAAAACAATAACGCACACGCAAACAGATAAACACACACGTCTTGCAAGCTGTTTGCACTGGGCAAAAATATGCACAGATGCCAAAAGAGTGGCACTAAGTCGTGTGGCACAACAATGGCCCCTACACTTCATCAACAATGAGAAAACTGTGGACCTGCTTGGTAGTCAAACTACTTACCATACTGCCAGTCAAGCTGTTTAGAGGGTTAAATGTCTAAAGCTTGACTTTATAGCACTCATTCTCACCATCACTACTGTCATCTGACCAACAACATCTGAACCAGCAAAGAACCAAACACTGCAGACATTTGCTTTCTCACGCCTCACCTCCGTGAAAGAAAATGTTGATAATTTAATGACTGCAGTGTACATATAAAAAAAATACATTTGTGACAGAAGGCAGAATGTGAGATGCATCTTAGAAGTGCAGGGGGTTATTGCGCAACAAGTGAGATCTATCAACAATGTCATGTTAGCATCACTTTTCTTCCTTTGAATAAAATAATTAAATGACAGTTTCTTGTGTAGATATTAGTAATAAGAAACGCTTTCTCCTTGTTTAGTTTAACTTAAGTTAGTTAACTTAATTTTTATTTGTGTTATTATAATTTTTGTGACAACATGTTGGATAATTATTTAATTTATTCTTGATTTGTAAAACATTTATACACCCCCTGCATGCCACACTCTTACCGCAGCACCTTCAGTCGTAGACTGAGACCACCAAGGTGCTCCACAGAACTCCACACGAAGTCCTTCCTCCCTGTCAAACTTTAAAACTCCGCCCCTTTCTACACATAGAAGACAATAAAAATATTCCTGCACTACAATAAACACTTTAATGTTTCTGTCTGCACCTGACCTGTTTTAGACCTTAATTGTTGGTATAAGCCTCTCCTTTATTTTTATATTCTCTGTTATTTTTATATATCGTGTGATTCCTTTGTACTGAAACTCTGACACAACAATTTCCTGCAGGATCAATAAAGTTCTTATCTTATCTTATACATGTGTGCAAATGATTATAAAACACAGTTGATAGGTGTGATTAAGTTAACATTTTGCAAGACAAAATTATAGTGCTTTTTATGCAGATACTGTTGTGTCTATGAAGTATTTAGCACATGTTACATTTTAAAAATGTTTTTCTTTCAACGCAGCATTCCTACCTGAAGCTGTTCATGTTGCTATTGTCAGGCAAACGTATTTTTCTAAGGAATGATGGAAACATCTGCATTCTGTGGAGATGGAAACATCTGCATTCTATGGAAATGTAGTTGTAATTGACACTTTGCACTGCAGCATTGCAAATGCTTCCCTACCAAGAAATATGTGCAATACTGAGGGTAAATATTTAAGATTTAAAACATCAGTAGCACACAATTAAATCTGGAATAACTTATTGAAAATAAACAAAATTGACATATTAATATGAAATATATGCATACAGAGTTTTCCTACAAAGAAAACTGATCAGGAATTAATGTTGTTGTTTTTCTTATCTTTGCAGTTCCTCTGAATTTGTATTTTTTTACACACTTATTACTTGTAAGTGGGGAAACACACCACGTCAGTGCAGTTTGCCAAAACTGAACGCAAAACAATAATTAGCTGGTAAAAGAACAAGATACAGGAAAGGAAAGATTAATAATAGCACGCCAGCGCTGTTGGTGTGTGTGTGATTTTAAGAGAGAACGAGGTAGGGAGGGAAAGAACAGAGGGAGGAATGTCAAACACCAACAGCATTCCTATGTTTCTCCTTGCACTGCCTGCAGCACTGTAACGTTATGTTTTTGTCTTTTGTGTCACCTCGCCGATTATAAATTACCCATGGTTCATGAAAAAACATGAGAAACAAAAACAAGACTGCAAACATAAAATATCATCTAAAAGGTTAAAAAAAAAAGTGCTATGTTCTGCTCTGGCATGAACACCAAAATTACTGTATATTTCAGAGCAACCACTAAAACAAATGTAAGAATACTGTAGTAAACAAACATTCAAAGTACTCAGAACCACATTTCTAAATGAATGTCACCTCCGCTTTCCATGCCAAACTTTTAGCCATTTTGTCAAACCACAAAAATAACGTTATGCACAATCTCACGTGATACAGTATGTAAGATGTCACACCAAGTATGTGTCACGAATTACTCAATTTTTGCAAAATATCTGTAAAACTGACTGTATCGTAGCCATTCTCATTTGGTGATAGACAAAAACACACAGACATAGGCAAAAGACAATTGTGTATCTTTACAGTCACTATAACAGGGCTATTCAACTGGCGGCCCATGGGCCAGTGACTTCAATCTGGCCCACTTCATTAAAAAAATTAAATTAAATTAAAAAAATATGTGGTTCTGGGTTTGGGTTCTGTTTATTGTATTTATGATTCAATGCAATAAAATAAACACATATAAAACGGTAACAGATAATTGTAAACTTTGGTTTATGTACATAATGATTTTAATCGCTGGATGTCCGGCCCGAGCTGTTGGCTTTCAGAAACTCTGCCCCCCACCCCCACCCCCAAGCAAATTTGTTGAATAGCCCTGCACTATAAAATGACTTTTAACAAAAAAACTTACAGATCATAAACAAATAAAGGCCCAAACATATTAAAAAATAGCTCAAATGAACGAGCCACGCAAAGTATAAGTGTAGATATCAAATGTAAACTTTATCTGTGTCTTTATTAAATCTTATCTTACAGTATTGTGAACATATGTTGTTAGTAAACAGTCAACAAGAAACCCTAACTGTAAACAACTGGCAGTAACTTGACTTTAAATGGACCGTACTTATATAGCACCTTTCTATCTTATTTCAAGATACTCGAAGCACTTTACACTACAATCTGTGTCCTCATTTACCCATTCACACAGCACTCTACTAGATCTCTACAAAGCTAATTGAACAAATCATTCTAAAGAGACTAATCAGAGCTTTATCACATTCATACACCGATGGGACACACATTGGAGGCTATGAGGGGTTCAGTGTCTTGCCCATGGACACTTCGGCATGTGACTGCTGGTGGATTCGAACCTCCAATTCTTGCATTGGCGGACGACTGCTCTAACCACTCAGCCACAGCCGCCCACTTTACAAAAAAAACAAATTGGCTTTATAACATTGTATGAACAAAAAAAACAAAAAAAGACTATTGATCTGGTAAATTTGTATCAACCAAACCTAATATGACCTGTTATTTTAAATCAAAGTTAGACCCTTGTTCGCTTTAAATGCCCCTGCTAATGACCTCTAATAGTGGTCAGTAATTGGCATAATTATTTGCAGGTGAGCTTGCTGGGGTAACAATAATAACTCCTTTATGTGGCAAAGACACACAGATAACTTAATTACAAATGCACAACACCTGCGTTTCAGCTTCGGTGATTACTACAATCTCCATTTAATTTAAAATAGAAGTCAGCTGCCATTTAGAGAACAATAATCCAGATTTGCTCCAGCAATGGCAAGATGTTGTAATTCACAACAGCACGATCAAACCAGGTGAGGGGTCCATTTTGAATTCTTCAACATCTGGCCAGCGGTGCAGCTCAACAGCAGGCCATAATGTTCAATCAAACCATAACTTGTTGACTCTGATTTCAAACTATGAGCTGAAAGAGCAGGAAACCATTTCTATTTATTTATTTATTTATAATAATGGCATATTTACGGCGTGGCGTGGGGGGGGGGGGGGGGGGGGCTCCAAGTCTGGTTTAAATGACTCATTTAGAAACACATTTGTCGAAACGAAACTCCTATCAAAAGTAGTACTTTTTACTTTCTGAAAAGTGTATTTTGTTTGTTTGGGGTATTTTTTGGAAGGAGTTTACAGTAAGTAAAAGTGGGACACAAGAAGAAGAGATGCTGTCTGCCCTGAGTGCCTCTGACTGATGCCGAGCCAAAACGTGACCGTGTTCAGGAGTTTCGTAGGGAAATACACAAGCTTCACCGAGGTGAAAAACTTACCGAGAGACAGCCGAATGAAGCAGAAGACAAAGGCTAGAGACTTGCCCAGGCAAGGCCGAGGTATCCGCTCCATATTTTCAGTAAAATCCACATAGGGCAAGCCAGCCCGAGAGCTGAGCCGTCTCCCTGCTCGGTTTCTTCTATCAAAATAAGTCTCGGTGCTACGAGGCTAAAACGCGTTTAAACTAGCTTTAGCTATAACATTTTACTACTCCTTAACAAGTGCTCTACAAGCTGTTACTCCAAAATGTTTACAAAAATACCCTAAAAGTTAACTTAGTCTGAATACACACCGCACTGGGGGGAGAAAAAAAAAAAAAACGCCTCGCACCTCTTAACACTGGGCTAATGTTGAAGTCAACGTTGAGTGAAGAAAAAAAAAACACGTATCCTTCCGCTGAAGTCAGGGAGGAACTATTACCAGATGAAAACGATGTCAAAACCGTTTCAAATGAAACGTAATATCTAAAAGTCCGACACTGAGGACGTATGTGTGCTCGTTTTAGCATATATGTATGATTTGATAGGTGTTTTATCGATGTCTGAGCGGAAGGAGAGTACAAATTAAAAGTTGTCGATCTTGGTGTCGTCGTGGCGGAGGAATTTTTTTTCTCATTTTTCTACTTCTCGCAGAGAGCCTGCTATGACTCAAATTAACCAGTTCACTCAGTTTCATGGCTTGCTTTCTTTTACACCCTGAGAGCTGCACGGTTTTTCCACAGCGCGTCTTAAAACACCCACGATTGTGTGTCATCTTTTTTTTTTAAGTTAGTGTAGAAATTAATGCTTTACAGCAAAGTGCAGCCTTCAATGTTCAGGTAATCTGTGTGGGGGGAGAAACGAGCATATTAACATAGTGAGGTAGATTAAAGAAGCCATTCTGTCTGCTCAGGGTTCACGTGTTAAATACTATTTGTGTGCAATATTTTGTAAAGGAAACCTCCCGAATTAAATCATTATGTGACGCGTTAATGCATCATGTTTAATAAAATGCAGCCCTGTTTGTATTTTCCACAATATAACCTATATGAAAGCTTAAAGATGACATTTAACTTGTTTTTCTTGTTTCCTATTTGTCAAAAGACATTTCTTCGTAACGCCCATTGCCAAAGGCAAAGAAAGATAATGATGTTTTTGTGTCTGAGTGTTTGTGGCTGTCTGTCAGCAAAATATCTCATGAGCCATTCATGCGCAATACAGTAATCCAGGTTAAAAAAAAAAAATCCAACAAAGTTAAATCAGGTCATCTGGACAGTTTATTTTATTGTTGTTGAAATGTTTCGTCCTTAATCCAAAGGACTTCATCAGTCCGAGGAGCCTCAACAGACTCAGTCCCACAAGCAGCACACTCATAGTGGGCCAACCAGTTTGATGGTGATAAGATGGTTTCTGGAGCTCGCCCTCACCCCGGTTGAACTTAACATTTGAAGTCAGTTCAATTTAAGATGGCAGCCATGACATAAACAAACACAAGTAGTATAAATTTGTAATTTTTACAGAAACTTGACTATAATTTGATGCAATTGTTGCTGAGAGTTGTTCCCATCACATACTTTGAGCATGACTTTATATTCTGCATGAGAAGGTGTTTTTTTTTTTTTTTTTTCAAGGTTTAACCAAAACTGGTCAGACTCTGTCATTTGTCAACATAAATGTAAGGAGCAAAATGCATTTAATTTCTTTCAAATAACTTATTTATTTATTTATTTTTAATCTTCAAGCAGTGCTTCAAACTTTTTAAGTTTCAATGTTCAGAAAACTGAAGTCGTGTTTGGCGCTACTGCTGTCTCTGATCCTGTAAATCTTAACTCTCTTCAGCCTTATCATCTTGGGATAGTTTTTAGACTGACTTTAAGTTTAATAAACAGATTAACTCTGTTCTTCTAAAAATAATAAAATCTTCTTCCAGTTAAGGCAGATAGCTAAGCTTAAGTAACTTTGTTGAAAAGGTGAAGTCGATAAGGTCATTGATTCCACAGCTGACCGCTCTGTCTTTGTCCCTTGCTCAGCAGTTTTCAGTCACTTTGAACCCAAAAGTGACTGAAACCCATTTCAGTCACCTCAGGCTAGACCCCAATGAGAACAGATACAATGAAAACAGAAGGCGTCCAAGAATAGAGCCTTGCGGGACCCCATAGGAAAGCGGCTGTTTTCAGGCTGTTTAACCCTCTCATTTCAGTCAATGAGAGGGAAACCCATTTCCCTCTCATTTCTAAATGTCATTGATCAGAAGAAACCCCCAGGTTCCCCTGCAGATCCCATCCCTGCATCATTTTTTAAACAAGTCCTACCCTCGATTGGACCCTCTGTTCTTGACATTATAAACAGCAGTATGGACACAGGTGTGGTTCCTGATGTTTTTAAACATGCAGTAGTTAATCCATTAATTTAAAAAAAAGCGGACTTGACCCTTCAACTTGCTCAAACTTCAGACCAATCTCAAAACTTCCCTGTCTTTCTAAGATCTTGGAAAAAATGGTTTTCATTCAATTAAACAAGTTCTTGAATGAAAAGGGTGTTTTTGACATTTTTCAGTATGGTTTTAAGCAATTACACAGCAAAACAGCCTTAGAAAGGGTCTGTAACATTTTTCTATGATTCTGGTCAGTTTGGGATCCTTGTTGTACTCCTTGACCTTACCTCTGCATTTGATACTGTGGACCACAGTATGCTTTTACTGGTGCAATGTTACAATGGTTCTGTTCGTACCTGAGCGGCAGGAGTTTTTGTGTTAATGTTGGTAATAGTTTATCCGCTTCAGTGCCGCTTTCCTATGGGGTCCCGCAAGGCTCTATTCTTGGACGCCTTCTGTTTTCATTGTATCTGTTCTCATTGGGGTCTAGCCTGAGGAAACATGGTATTTTGTTCCATTGTTATGCTGATGATTTCCAGATTTATCTGCCCTTAAAGCAGTTCCTTCTCCATTCGCCCTCTGTTAAAATGTCTTGATGACATCAAGACTTGGATGGCTACAAACTTCTTAAGTTTTAATGGTCAGTAAACTGAGGTCATTATGTTTAACCCTAGCTCTACTGCTGCCTCTGATCCTGTAAACCTTGACTCCCTTCAGCCACATCTAAAGCAGTCTGTTTGCAATCTCTGGATAGTTTTAGACTCAGATTTTAAGTTTAATAAACAGATCAACTCTGTCCTTCAAAAAAGCTTCTTCCAGTTAAGGCAGATAGCTAAGCTCAAGTCCGTGCTGACCAGATCTGACCTTGGAAAATTAGTCCATGCATTTGTTACATCCCGGCTGGACTACTGTAACTCATATTATGTTGGGGGCAGTCAGGTGTCCTTTTCACGTCTCCAGCTCGTCCAAAATGCTGCAGCTCGGCTCTTAACAGGAACTCGCAGGTCTGAGCACATCTCATTGGTTCTGTCCTCCCTTCACTGGCTTTCTGTGTGTGTCAGAATTGATTTTAAAATTCTCCTGCTGACATTTAAGTGCATTAATGGCCTTGCACCCTCTTACCTTTCTGACCTTCATCCTAATGTTCCTTGATGGGAGCTGACATCATCTGACCAGCTGCTTTTGGTTGCATGAAAAACCAGGTTGAAGCTCAGAGGAGATTGGACTTTTTCAGTCATGGGCCCTAAACTCTGGAACAACCTGCCCATCATCATTAGAGAGTCAGAGTCCGAGATTCTTTATTGTCGTTCGCATCACATGTGGTACATGTGGTGGGATGAAATTATGTACACAGGGTCCCAGTTACATCCATACATTAGACAGGACACTTCAGTGCTTGCTTTTAAATCTCCCCTAAAAACACACCTGTTTTCACTGACGTTTAACACAGTGTGGTTTGACTTACTATTTCATTGTTTCTCATTGTTTTTGTGTTTTTTATGTTTTTATTTTGATGCTTTTAACCACATCTTATTATTATTTTTCTTTAATTACGGCCTTGATCTTGACCTGACTGAGCATTATTTAATTTGGTACCTGGATGATTGAGCATGAACTTTGCTGCCTTGAACCACATTGGCTGCGGCTGCCTGCCTGGTCTAGAAAAAAAAAAGCTGTCCAGATGAGCTGACTGAGCATTATTGCACTTTGGTAACAGCTGCTGTTTTAAATGTGCTTTGTAAATAAATTTGACTTGACTTGACAATCATCTGTGTGCTTTTTTTTTTTCACACTAAAACGTTTTCCCTATCCACACCAACACAAGCCCACTCACTCAACCTTCATATGCTGTGATGGAACTCAGAAATCCCAATGATCCCCTATCAAGGTGAATAATCCTGGTGTAAATCACTCGGGCTCACCCCAGCGACAAGACTATGCCGTAGCCCAGTGATTTGTTTGTCTTTACACCCCATTAGGAAAACATTGCTGAGCCTCCTTCTGCTGCGAGCGGCCCTTTGTCCTCTATTCAACCCCTCTGAAAGGCCTGGAACCAGAGGAGGGCACATCGATCTCCTCGGGGGGGTCTGTGCTGACAATGTTGCTGAGGCCGGTGTCAGACTCATGCGTGGTTGGTTGTTAGGTGCTGGCACTGGCACGGCACAAGAACACGGCTCAGACATATGAGGCTGGTTTGTTGCCAACCCCACTTTTTTCTTGTTTTCCTACTTTAAACACGCCACTCTGTGAGTAGAGCCTTTACTCCATTTTTGCTATCTTTATTCAGTCTTATTCAAAAATAGTAATGTGAGATAAGTCTGTTTAAAGGATCACCGTCTGCGTTGCTGTTTTCTTAATGATGTCACTCCAGATGTGGGTTTCTGTAGTTTGGGAGCGACGGGATGAGAGAGGGTGCGGCTCAGCCGCATAAGCAGAAAATACTGATTAGTTTCTCCTTGCCACAGCTCTGATGAAAGGCCTTAGAGGTCTGACAAAGTTAACGGAGAGGGTAAAAAACTTTTGAAGACATCGTCTTGGGAAAACTTCATGACTCAAATCTGTTTTTGTTCATGAGAAAACCCCAAGCTTCAATATTTTAGTTTGAAATCCAAAATCTCCTCAGCTTTAACAGATAGTCGTAGCAAAAAGAGTTGCAACAAGATAAATATATTTACATTAATTATTCCTGTATTTTTACTTCCAGAAAAGAAAGACTTATTATAATCTTATATAGTGCTTTTATTCAGTGGATCTTCATGCTTTTAAAAGATCTTTTACAGTTTTTCTTTGAACTTTAGCTGCTTTTTCACTCATTTTTCTACATTACCTGATCATAACAGCATATTTTTAGGTGTGTTTAAAAAATGAGGATAAGTGAACAAGTAGCAGAACTGGCAGGTTGACAGCGCTGGAATGACTTCGTTGGCACTATAGTCTCTCATGTCTGGTATTTTTCGCAGATTTCACTAAAGTAATTTGAACAAAATGTGTCTTTCAACAGGCTGCTGAT